TTCCAGAGTACTGTAAATCATCCCCCGTTCTCACCTCCTCCTCTTACCGCCCCTCCACCGCCTCCTCCCCCCCTCCCCTAAAAAAAAATATATATTTTTTGAAGTGTCTCTCCGAAAAAAATATTAATAAAAAGTTGATGAAATTCAAAGCCCGCGAGCGGCTCTCTGCCTTTAATTGCTGCCGAGCAAAGCGATGCTGCTCTCACGGAGTTATCAGCGGAAAAGTTGTCCAAGACAGGTTAAATAATTGAATAAGGAACCGCTTGTAATTATGTTATTTACAAGGGCTGACAGAGGGTTGGGGAGGAAACAGGAGCTGCGCGCAGGGAGCGGCGGGTTGGGGTGACCCCTGGAGCACGGAGTTTGAATTATGGAGATGGGGGGCTGCGGGGTGAGCGCGGACCAGAGGCGAACAAGCTGACTTTTCACCTCGGCACATTTAACTTTTAAATCCGAGGGAACGTCTCGCGTTACTCCGTGGCCGAGGTATAAAAGAAGGGGGGACAGGCGGGGGGGGAAGAAAAGGGCGAAGCGTGGCCGGCAGGAGGGCAGCCAGAAAAATATCAACCCCCCAAAAATAAAAGGAAAAATAAGAAGTTATAAAGGAGTAAAAAAAAAAAAAAAAAAAAAAAAAAAAAAAGTGCTTTTAAAAATAAATCTGGGCATCTGGCTGGGGTTATTTCCCCTTTCTCCTCTACCCCTCGCTGAACGAACGCTAACAGACACGGCAACGAGCATCTATCGAGGCCACATCGCACCCGCTGCCCCACCGCTGGCTGATGCGGCCCCGGGGTGCCCGGATCTGACAGCGGGGAGCTCCGCGCGGCCCCCCCGGCACGGCCCGACCCGGAGCAGCGCGGCTCTCACCTGTTTGGTCATGGAGTCTATGAGGCGCACGTAGAGGTCCTGCTCCGTCCTCACTCCTGCGGGGAAGCAGAGAGAAATCCGCGTTAGAGTTTCCCACGGAGCCGAGCGGGGTTACATCGCGCCCGGCTTGCAATTAAAATGGAAAGGAGTGGGGATGGGGGGGAGAGGGGGAAAGGAGAGAGAGGGGGAGAAAAAAAAAATCAAAATAAAAATAAGAAATGGGGAGGAGGAGGGAGAGCTGCCCGCACGCGGAGCGGGGCGGGGGGGCCCGGGGCGGCGGGGCCGGGGGCGGCGGGGCCGGGCCGGGCTGTGCTCCGCTCCGCCGCGATAATTACCGCTAATTGGCAAAAGTGGGAAAAGTCACTTAAAAGTGGTGCTGCGCGCAGCGCCTATCGATCCCCTTTTTTACTCCCCACTTCAAGCCCGGCCGCTTAATCATGTGAAGTGCCATTGACTTATTGATCGCTCCTGTTTTGTTTTCCTCCCGTGCCGGGGAAGGAGCCGTGTTTACACGCGTGCAATTTTCATCTCCGAATCTTTACAAAATAATAATAATCATAGTCATAACAATGAAAGGCCTTGAAAAAGAAAGCGAGACTTTGCTGCGGCGCGCGAGGCGACGGCAAAACTTACCATTGCTATACAATAACTGAAGTTTATAATGAATCCCATTGTTAGTTTTTTCATTGTTTGGCTCCTGCAAGTAACGATAAATAACGACATTCAGTACGAGCGCGGCTCGCGGCTCCGGGCGGCCGCTGCGTGCCCCGCGCAGTCCCCGCCCCGCACGGCCCCGTCCCGCCCGGCCGAGGGGCTGCGGCGTTGGGACCGCGCTTCGGAACGGCCGGCACGGGAACGCTAACGGTCGGAACGGGAGCAACGATAGCGGTAGGAGTAGCGGCGGGCAGACTTACTTTCTCTTTCTCCACAAAGTCCACAAAAGCCGTTCTCTCAATCTCCACCGGCTGCCCCTGCCTGTCGTACAGAGCTAAGACGAAGTGGAAAAAATTGGATTTTCTCAGGTTGGAAGGCGGCTGTTTCTCGAAATGCGCCCGAGCCAGCCCTACGCCGCTGCGGGAGAGAACAAGACAAGGCGCGGTGAGCGCGGAGCGGAGCGGGCGGCGGCGGAGCGGCGGGGCCGGGGGGGCCGCACCTACCTTTGCGCGGCCGTGTTGGCATCCACCACTCCGGCCGTGTGCATCCACGAGCGGACCGGGTTCATGCCGCTGCCCAGCGGCTCCTCCTTCATGGTCGTTCCGCCTCGTGGTATATTTTCCTGAATCCCAAACATTAAAACAAGCGGGGGCGGCGGCAGCTCCTAAGCAAAAGGGGGGGACGCGGAGGGGAGCGCGGTGCGGTGCGGGCTCGGTCGGTGCCCCTCTCCGGAGGAGCGCTCGGTGCCGGAGCTCTGCGGGAAGAGAGTCCGCTCCGAGCCTCGCTGCCTTCCTCAGCGCGTCCTGCGCGGGCACCACATCAACAATTTGCGGAGTTCTTCTGCGCGGCCGCGCGGGTGGCGTTCCAGCTTGGAGGTTCGGAATGGTAAAAAAAAAAAAAAAAAAAAAAAAAAAAAAACAAAAAAAAAAAAAAAAAAGGAGAAAAAGGAAAAAAAAAAAAAAAAAGAAAGAAAGAAAAA